ATACAATAACATCTATTAAGGATCGGTAACATTGGGAAAAATGATTTTACCCAAGCTAGACATTCTAAGCTGAGAATTCAATCGATCATCATTTCTAGTATCAAAAACAAATGAATCAGTCATTTGAGAAAGCCCATAAGTCACAAATTTATTATATTCCAAAAATGGCAGATTCTTCTTGCTAACACTTCGGTACACATTCTAATGAGAAATCCCATTAGTCGTAGCAAATAGCAAACCAATCTCGCAGTTTTAGAAAAAAAAAATCAGTGCTTTGTCTCACACACAGACGATTTAAGAAAGTTTTTTTTTTCAATTTCCCAAACTTTTACTTTTCTGACTTATAGTGTTTCTCAAATGACCGATTCTAATACAATACTCATAACCTAGTATATAACAGCTAAAAATTAGGAAAATATTTGCACCATAAAAAAATGAGTAGAGTAGTTTCGGGAAATATTGCGACAACTCCACCCACAATGCATTGGAATGGGAGGGGACGCTTGACGTATCGCAATATATCTTGAAACTATTCAAGGTATTTTCAACTAAATCCCTCTAGACACAAAAATCATTTTCCTTTCTTCGAAAGATAAGTGAAAGTTGATACCAAACAATATTTTATGGACAGATGAGGTTAGCCGTTTTCGGCACTATGGTCATCATCATGTTCGAAAAATTACATATTACATTTATCTAAAACTATCACAGCATTTAAGAAACAATTTTTGGAACTACATACAACAATGATAAGATTTGCTGTTTTCCTTAATTCATTACTTTTTTACAACATATAAATTTAATAAAATATGACACATTACATTTTGAACTCGTGCTCCAATATCATCCTGACATCTCCTTATTATTCCCGTAAACACTGAAACATCTACCTGACACCTTGTTTTCTATCCTTACTAAACACCTCGAAATCCTTTAACATTATCTTTCCCATACCATGCAGGCAAGAATCCCATATCCATAAACTCGTACCGTCCTATCTCGCATATCAGTCCCCGGTAAGCTTCTTGAACTACTGCTTAATGAGAAAATCTGGGACTTTTATGAAGAGAGAAACAGCATACATAACTCCAACATGGTTTCAGACCTCATCACTCCCTTCATACAACTATGTTATAGCAGTTAACTCCTCCCAAATCTTTTCAACTGCTTTTTTAAGTCTAAAAGGCCTTTGAGCAAGTCTGACAAGCCCGGTTTTTTAAATAGCTCATTAAGATATGTATATAGTTCTATCCGTGAATATCTCATTTACTCCTACCTCACCCATTCACTCCACTTTCTGGAGTACCATAATAGAGTTTCAACCTGGTCCCACTCCTATTATATACTCACGACATTTTACCGCCATATTATTCATGGTCAAAATGTATCTAAATTTTTTTAAATAATTATTCAAATATAAATTATTTTGCATTAAAACACCGCCCATACTGATAATACTGTCACGATTCGTATAAATTCATATTTTTCTTAATTTTAATTAATTATTTAAATAACATCCTCTACATAAAAGTTTATTTAATTATGTCGACAATTTGTTGATTATTTAATAATTATTTAACATTAGTTTCGTGACAATAAAGTATGCAAAAGTTATAAAGGTAATGTCAAGCGACGCACAGGACTTTTTTCCACAGAGCAGGGATCCTCCCCATAGGAGGTCCTCCTTGCAGGAGATTCCCAGTAGCGACTCCATATCACTGAGACTCCGACCGGACGTCTACTAGGCACAGACTGTCCCTCAGAAAATGACTTTGATGTTTTCGCTATTTTAGAACTAATTATAAAACTAGCTTTAACAACACTGTTTAGATTTAATCTTTGCGAATGGAACATTTGTTGCTATTTCCCTAAATCGGTAATGAGTTTTTAATTTTATCCCTTCTTAACTGGCCCATGAATGAATTATTGCAGGAGCAATGACGCTTCATATTGTATTCTTACAAAACAGAAATTATTTCATTGTACAAAAAACACAGATTTATCTCTATGCAAGATAAAAAATCTGATGTGTCCAACACATGACTTTCCTATCTAGTTATTATAGGCTTTTTCCGGTTATTTTGCACAACCTATTGCAGCACCTCTATAAATGTTTAGAGGATAAACTAAATATATACATTTTCAACATACATCTAACTTGACACATTTTTCTATAATATACCGGGTGTTCAAATTAAAGTTTTACAGTTAAATACCGCCGAAAATATGCATTTTAGAAAAAAAAGTTTCAGACAACAGTTTTATAGTTTTTTGGGGTAAACATTTTAGCTTAATTCATTTTTTTATAGCTGACCATAATATGGCCATATCAAGGTGGACTTTGTTTTTTTAAATGGAAACCCCATTTTTTTACATATTCTTAAAGTACATAAAAAAATAAGAAACTTTTGATGGAAATATTTTTTTTATTGGACTTTTGAGTAACAGCTACTTGAAAATTGTGCTGGAAAAAAAAAATGTTGGCCATATTATAGTTAGCTATAAAAAACGATTTTAGCCAAAAAAATTTCCCCACAAAACTATAAAACTTTCGTCTGAAACGTTTTTTTTTTTTATAAAAGGCGGTATTGAACTGTAACACTTTATTCCATAAAATATAAAAACGGCTTCTCATAAAGTACCCTCCCAGATGTTCTACCTTCGTTCAAAATCTAATCATTTCACCTCAGGCCGAAATAAAATTAAGTTTAAAATTTAATGTTTTTTGATTTATCCGTTTTTGAGCTTTCTTCAAAATCCGAAATTCACACATTTTCTCAAATATCTCGAGTACGGTCCATTTTAGAGAAATTATGTATGGGATAAACATTAATAATTTTTTTACATTTTGTCAAATTTCTCGAATACGGACCATTTTAGGAAAATTTTATATAGAACAAAAATTATAGATAAATAAACTTTTATTTGAAAAATTTTCTTCTCAAAACGTAAATAACGAATATATTCCATAAAATAAAAAAATGACCACCAATAAAGTACCCCCCAAATGTTCCGACTCTGTCCAAAATCTAATCAGTTCACCGCAGGCCAAAATAAAGGTTAAGTATAAAATTTGATGTTTTTCATTAAATCGGTTCATGAGTTATGGTGGATACACACACACATACACACACACACACACACACACACACACACACACACACACACACACACACACACACACACACACACACACACACACACACACACACACACACACACACACACACACACACACACACACACACACACACACACACACACACACACACACACACACACACACACACACACACACACACACACACACACACACACACACACACACACACACACACACACACACACACACACACACACACACACACACACACACACACACACACACACACACACACACACACACACACACACACACACACACACACACACACACACACACACACACACACACACACACACACACACACACACACACACACACACACACACACACACACACACACACACACACACACACACACACACACACACACACACACACACACACACACACACACACACACACACACACACACACACACACACACACACACACACACACACACACACACACACACACACACACACACACACACACACACACACACACACACACACACACACACACACACACACACACACACACACACACACACACACACACACACACACACACACACACACACACACACACACACACACACACACACACACACACACACACACACACACACACACACACACACACACACACACACACACACACACACACACACACACACACACACACACACACACACACACACACACACACACACACACACACACACACACACACACACACACACACACACACACACACACACACACACACACACACACACACACACACACACACACACACACACACACACACACACACACACACACACACACACACACACACACACACACACACACACACACACACACACACACACACACACACACACACACACACACACACACACACACACACACACACACACACACACACACACACACACACACACACACACACACACACACACACACACACACACACACACACACACACACACACACACACACACACACACACACACACACATACCACACACCACACACCACACACCACACACCACACACCACACACCATACACCACACACCACACACCACACACCACACACCACACGCACGCACGCACGCACGCACAGTCCATTTGTCTTAGAAATGACGACATTATGTTTCCACTTTCTGCTTTTTTTGAACCAGACATGTTTTTGATTAAATATTTTTCGCGTCGTACTCTCGATTGTACGTGAAAGTGCGATGCGAACTTCATTAGTTGAATAAAGGTATTGAGGTGAGGCGCGCTGAGCGGTTTATATATTACTCTCAATAAGCAACTGGAATAATTTCAATCATAAGCGAGCGCTTCTGACGCATCGGGCGGCTTCCCGAATGTTTATCGCTTTGTTTCTTTCTAACGACTATTTCTGACACGAGGGACACGATCTGAGGCGTTCTCCTGCGTTCGCTTAATAATATTATTTATCGATTTTAGTTATTATGATTTGAAGAATACAGTGGCGTCCTACTTTTACGCTTAATACAATTACAAATAAATTATGTGTGCTAAATCTATATTTTTCTACTACTTCGAAGGGTGTGAATTGGTGAGAAATATTCTTAATAATCTATCATTACGCAACATGGTAAACAAAATAATGGATTGGAAAGGAACGTCTGATAAAATAAACGAACCTAAAAGTCATCGTTTTGTATTTCTTTGTTTATAAAACATTCTAAATTATTCAAATATTAATTATTTTGCTATATGGAAACATAATCAGTGACAGTTGGATTATAAAAATCTGATAATGGCCTAAAATAAATAAAAAAAAATCCTTTGTGTTAATTAAAAGGCAAATGTATTACAATTAGGTTAAAATTCCATTCGTGTTACTTATTTGTAAATGTTAATATGAAATTTCTATTAATTTTTATATTGGTTTTTTTTAACCAAGTGCAATCTGATTCGTTTTTGGATGGCCTTCTAGAAAACATGTTAGGCAGAATTGACATTAATAGAATTAAAGCACTGAATATAAACCCCATATGTGCACTGCAAATAGAAATATTAATAAATAATAAGGATATCTTATTGAAAAGTAAGTACCTATACCTATTTTAAATTGATTTTAAAATTAGTTGCATTATGGTGTTTAATTTACGCTGTAATTAACAAAAATTGTACAAAATATATTAGAAAAAGTCTCCTCCAATATCAATAAGTACCTTGTTCCGCTGATATTTCCACTTTTTATATGCATACAACAAGGTTTCTGTAGACAATCCCCCCAAGAAACATCATGCACTTGTTAAAAATCTAGTCAAATAGGTTGAATACGATTGATGTTGTATCACTTTATAGCTATTTATGAAACCAGTTACGAAATGCCTTATGTAACGAATAAATATTTGCGGGACGAGGAGAGCGAGGTTCCGCAACATAAAACGGCATTTCGTAACGTGTTACATACAATATTTTTTCTAATTTTGACTAGAATATTTATAAAATTGTATATGCATCAATTTATTGATAAATAGAACATAATAATAATTATTTATTCTTAACGAAATTGGTGGACGGTTTAAGATTTCTTATAGGTAGGCACTAAACGTCGAATGAGCATAGCAAAAATAAGTCAAGTTTTTGAGAGGCACGTACCACTAATACCCAGACAGCACACATAGTCCAATGGATGTCCACTTTACATCTATTTGAGGGCCAAAACATCCGTATTCGGACATCCAGTGTACGTCTGTTTATGATCATTAATTTGACAGCTGCATATCGATGTCCAGAGGACGTCTGTTTTTGGACTTAATTTTAAGTTTAGTATTATTTTGACGTCTATTACATTTCATTCAGCGAAAGTTTGAAATCTTATTCCATTATAACCGTATCTAGAAAGAATTTTGCAAGTGGCTCCTTGTTCAAGATCGCTTAGCGCTTGTATGCCTAAAACGGCAATGGGCGTGTCTTTAGTTCGATACCTGCTCTGATCAAGTGATTTTTATTAAAAAAAATTAAGAAATAGTGTATAGCGGGTTGCGAAAATAATATAAAATAGTTTGTGTTGAGGTGCGGTTGTGTAAAAAAAGTGGGGGATGTGGTCTCAATGGAATATATATGGTCCATGAATGGACGTTTTTTGAATATCCAGTAATCAACGTCCAAATATAATCCAGAATTGGACGTCCTATGAATGGTTAAAAGTGTGCCATTTGTATACTTCACTGGACGTCCATTGGACGTCGGAAGTCCAGAAAAAACTCATCTTTGGACGTCCAGACATCCAAAATTGTATATCGAATGGACGTCCAATGGACCTATTTGTGCTGTCTGGGTAATGCCTATAGCTAAGCGCCCCAGCCTGAACGTCGCGCTTTCGTGAATTTAATAATAATTTCATAAAAAATAAGTAACAGATCTGCACATGAGTTCTAGAACTATAAGTAGGCAAAACACACTACAGTGTTGTAATAACAATTAATTTATTTGTAATATAATTAATATGTTTATTTTCATACTTAGTATAAATGGCACTACTATTTCAAACTAGCATTGGAGACAAGAACATCTTTAAGCTCATCAATTAAATATTAAAACATTGTAAAGCAGATAAAAAATAACCGATATTTCAAAAACATCCAAAAGAATTTAAATGAAATTTATTACATTTATTTAAAAAAGTTACTTTCCAGCTTGTTTCTGCAAATCACTGGATGAAACATGCTCTTTAAAAACATATGTCAGAGTTAGTATTAGAATGTCACGAAACTCTTGGCGAAATATCCATCAATAAAGTAGTCACCTTTAGATGTAACTGTCTTGTTGACTCAGTGGTCAAGAAGGCAGCTAACCAAATTCTTTTTGGACCCGGCCCATTCATTGACCTCACAACATCGGTAGTGACAAACCTATTTAAAGAATATATCCTTTCGAAATTTAGAGTTGCCAGGGAGCTTTTAAGACATACCGACGACACCACAGTAAACAAATTTGCCTGTGACCAGAATCTGCGCCTAATCACAAGCATTCTGACCTGTCATTGCCAAGAAAGGAATCATCTTCATAGCATGAGACCTTCAAAATCTGCACTTTGCAGGGAATGCGAACAAGAAGATGAGACCATCGAGCGTATTCCATCGAGATAGAATAAAGTAGAGACAACATAAACACTATTTTGGGTTATGACATATGGACGTACTTCGATTTACAGAAAAATGTAATGAAAATGTCAACTTAAGTGGTAATTTGATTTCTTTGAAGTCAAAGTCAATTTTACATGAAAACTGACGGAATGAAAATAATATATCATTTAAATATAGATATTTAACAAAAAATGGTATTTATTTTCTCCAAAACTGACTAGCTTCACTGTCTTGAGTCTGACATATGACGTAAAAATGTAATACAAAGGTGCGGACACTTTAGCATCGTAATAGCATCACTTCTTTATTCTATCTCAATGAGCATATTATCTACGATTACCCGACGCTCTCATTTGTATTTGGCAAGTACTGGCTAACACCGACCGATTTAAGAAAGCACCCCTCGGCGACGTTGCCAACTACATTATGTATGTAGCAGTGGCGGCTTGTGATAATACGAGATGGTAGTCCCAGATTTTTAACAAATCTGAAAACCCCGCCAGAGGCGCCCTGTCGGAGGCCCCCCACCAGAGGCGAAAAATTTTTCGGGGTGCCACGCCCAAATTTTTAACCAAAAGTCGTTTAAAAAACTGCCTTTGGGCAAAAATTTTTCACTGAATTTTCAAAATGGATATAAAATTTTAATAAAAAAAAAAATTAGGAACAGTAACTTTTATATCTATTATGTGACTACTATTTATTCTAACACAAGTTTTGCTACGAAACAGGCCGTCAGGGTTAGTCTTATCCTAAATTTTGCTAATAAATTACTTAAAACTTATCAAAGAACTCTGTAAAATTAATTAAAAATTATAACTTAACTTACCCCCAGTAATTAATGCTTGAAAGTCCTTGCAGTTTGTTATTACCATAAAGAGTCTTAGTTCCATATGCCAAAAAAATCACAAAAATAAAACTTTACATATGTATAGTATTTACACACGCGCACAAAGTTGCTTGATATACTAGTTTTAATGTTGTCCATTTGCTCCCGTATACCTTGAATTGCTGCTTCGAAATTCTCCAAATCTTTCTTAACCTTAACAGAATCTGTACATACTTTTTATAATTGGTTAAAAATAATTTCCACGTGAGGCATTATTTGATGAAAAATACTTAACCATAACATAAAATTATTACCCTGAAGTTTTAATTTGTACCCACTTGCTTGATTAATAGATGACGAATCGCGTGAAGTACTTTCTATAATGTCCACAACTGTAATTGAGGTATTTTCTATTTTTATAAATATGGCACAAAGTTTACATAGATGAAACACAGGTAAAATGGTCTATTTGCGTTGGTTGACGATGACGAACCGCATTTTGCGTTTATATGTTAGTACAGAAAATCTCTCAACTAAGTTGAAGACATTCGTTGAATATATAATAAAATTGTATACGCCAGTGTGGTTTCACATCAAGTGCAATCCTTCATGTCATAAGGGTGCAGAACATCTGTGGCGTGCTATTAATTTATCTAATTTATCTATGCAGTAAATTAAAAGCTGTAGTTAATCCGGTTAACCAAAGAAATAGTTTTTTCAGACACCCGGAAAATATACTACTAACAATGTTGTCTGATGAGAGGCCTCATGTAAGAGAGCTTGGAACAAGCATATCAGGATGGTGGAAACTTCCGAGTGGTTTGGGAATTAAGAAAATCTACATAAAGTATAATTCAATGCCACAATTGCCAGGCATGGGGCCATACCACGGTAAACTGCGGACACCCTCCGAAATGCTTAAAATGTGCAGAGAACCATCACACGCGAACATGTGTGAAAACCTGCGAGACGCCGGCCACCTACGTAAATTGCTTAGGGGACCATCCGGCTAATTATTCTAAGTGTACAGCCTACCTAGAAAGGGTAGACAGAATGGAAGGGAGGAAGAAGCAGCAACAGCCTCGAAGATATGTGCAGGCTCCAATCCCAGAAGGGAACGCCTGGGATAAGAAAAAGCCCAGCACTACCAGGCTAAGCCAAGAGGAATTTCCCCCCCTACCCTCACGAAGACCACCCCAACAGAACAACGAAATGCCGACTAGACAGCAACAGAGCAGGCCTACCGCGAGCAATGCGGAACAGGGAAGTATGGATGATATGTTTGCCCTTAATGACGAATTCAACACACTCAATAGACTTGTTAATGTTTCAGAACTCACCCAAGCCGTTAGGGATCTCAACAACTCCCTAAGACAATGCAGAGACGAAAGAGACGTATTAACCACATACAACAACTTTGTAAGAAATCTTAACTCGTACAAATTTAGGAATTAAATTTAATCCGACAAACTACAAAGACAAAATCAAAATTTGTTTTTATAATGTGAACGGGCTGTTAAGCAAACGCGGCTTAGTAACGAATTTCATTCACAAGTATAAGTTTGACATTATCATACTTACGGAGACGAACCTAAAATAAACAGACAAGATTAAAATCAAAGACTATAACATAATAAGACAAGACAGAGAAAGACAAGACAGACACAACGTAAGACAAATGGCAGCGGGAGGGGTTGCTATAATTGTCAAAAATAATCTCGAATTTGCACATCTACCAAACCTAAATATCTCACAGCATGTAGAACATGCAATAATCAAATGTCATAACATCATTTTCATAGGAGTGTACAACTCCCCGGCAAGGAGAATCTCAAATGCAGATATGCATGCGCTAATGTCTAAAGGTAACAAAGTTTTTCTAGCTGGGGACTTGAATTGCAAACATCCCGAGTGGGACGCGAACTGTATCCACGCAAACCCTGCAGGTAATTTGTTGAGAGACTTCGCCGAAGACAACGAGCTAATAATTCACTACACGGACGAACCTACATGCACACCCTTCAACGGGGGCACCCCAAGTACACTGGACATTGCAGTCACTAAAAACTTAACTGACGTACAAAACATAAGAACAATAACTACACTAAACTCAGATCACGATCC